TACCTTTTTACGTGGCTTGCAGCTTATTGCATATTTGAAGAGAACCCCATTCACAAAAGCTGTCAAACACACAGTTACCATGTCGTATACTCCACACCTTGCTGTAACCGCTGGTAGTACTACACTGCCCGATGGTAATAGCACGGCGTCCATTTGCAATCCATGGCTCCGTCGCATCTCGCGCGTGCGCAGACATTTGCCAAATTTTAACGAATTTTCGCCAAACTTTTTTTAACAGTTTGGCATATCTGAATCTGAAGTTCGGCAAATTCGGTCCATCACTACTAGATACAGACAGAGAAAGACTGGCCAAAACACGAGTTCCGACCAGATTATGTTGCATGTAAATCCTAGTCAAGGGCTTTGTTCGCAAAGACACATTGGCTGGGAAGGCTCGTACACTACGCTGTTTAGGAACAAGGCTTTCTCTTGCTCCTACAATGCACATACAAATTACCCAGTAAATGAATAACTGACATTCCTTTCAGTGGTTAAAATCAAACCTTTTTGCCAAGGCACAAAGGAGAATGGCGGGGTCATAGGCAAATTCTGAGTGTGCATGTCTTGGCATCTGTAACAGTTACTCTTGCATATGCCGTGCGTCAATGCACTCCCAGCATGCTCCTTGGTGCTTGGCAAAAGTTCTACTGTCCGAACAAACCTGTGCATAATCATTCGGCTTTGGCTAAAACTATTTTCATTTTTTTCCTCAAAGGTTAGGAAGGCATAATAGGTTGTATCTTTGTGACCAGTGAATAATTGAGAAGAGCCAATGTTGCAGATGGGAAAGGAAACCGTAGTGTAGACTGGAAAACATGTTTAGCTTTGTAAGTCTGAATAGTTTTGAATTTGTGTTAAATGTTTGTGCTGTCATGCACAGTTGCCCATGTTTGGTTTATACAGTTCCAGTCTACCTCCTCGATGAAAGCCCCATTTATTAAAGACCAACAGGAGAGCTGCCTTGCCAAGGTGTAGCCTCTTCAGGATGTCTGTGGCAGCACATGAAAAGAAAAGTTAATGCAGTATTACGTGTGAGGGACATAAAAAAAAAGTGCAAACAGCATGTATTTCAATACTCGTCTGTGGCGCATCGGAAAAAAAGGATGGGAACACAAGCAATGGATAGCATAAAAAGCATGAGGAATGCATGATGACGAAGCAAGCAGGCACTGTCACCGGGCAAAATTAAAGGGGGCGTAAGCACATGGACGCATGCGAAGGGAGGGTAAGCAAATGCACAAGGCGTGCAAAGACCAGACAAACTTGTAAGTTCTAGGCGCACATATTTCTTACCTCTCGAAACCTTTGGCAGAGTGGGATGGAGAGTATGTCGCAACAGAGTCTGGCATGCTGCTGGGAGCAGGAAATATGCAGTTGTATGGCACCTCGCTGCTGCAGTAGGGGACGGTGGAGTCTGAAATATACAACGGTACTAACTCCTCCACGACCAGGGAGATTCATCTCGACAGTGGAGTCCCTCAGGATCCTCTCTGCCTTGCAGAATGCAGCAGTCCAGCTGCTGAGATTAGGACCTGCAAATAGCACTTTTATACTAGAACGTTTTCCACAATGCCTGAATGATGCAATTTGTGCGATCGATAGTTTCTAATACTTAGAATGGAGAGGTGGTGGGAATTCATTGTAGGAAACAGCAAAAACAGACGAGGACGTAGAAGAATCACACGGGAGGAGCGCTGCGCTCGTCCCGTGTGGCTCGCGCACTAGTCGTTCAGTGCGCGAGCCACTCGTGGAACCGGCACGACAAGCACAGGCACATCACAGGGCGTCTCATTTGGATGACTGGTTTCCACATTCGCTCGTTTCGCCGTGCTTTGGCTGCGTATACACGCTCCAAGCTCGCGAACGAACCGTGTTCTCAGTTATGAAGCTCGAACCGGCAGGCCGGGAGAAAAAAAATTTCTGCCGGTGGCTTGCGAGATGTGCCAGCTGTTTGAGAAAACAGAGCCGTGCATCCTGGTCCAAGTAAATAAACTGCACCGCAGAACACGGCGACAATAAGTGTGCAGACGAACTGGTGGATGCTGATCATGTTCAAAATTACCCGAGTCTGTGCTAAAAGAGAAAAGCCTCGGTCCTAGAAGAAAAAAAAACAAAGATTATGACGTTACTAGGTATACGCCTCGCAAGTGGGCTGATTTTCGTCTTCTGCGCACGAGAAAAAAAGCAGCGGTGACGTCAGAACGCCGAGCCCTAATTGGCTGGTCGCAACCCCCTATCTGAGCGTCGTCTGCTCCTTTGCGACGTCGTCTGCGTCTGTCTTACCTTTCGTGCGACTTCGCCCTTCAGAGAGGGCAGACGAAATAACTCGAGCGGTACGTTGTCTTTGTCTAAAAACTAGCAGACGCGCATCAAGGAGGGAAGTCAAAGGACTCACTGGCGAGGTGTCCCAAGGCGCCGAGGTTTGTTTGGTAAGAACCGAGAGTGCGTGTTAGTGTCCGCAAGTCCCCCCCCCCCAAATACTTTTTCCCTCCTTTCGCATGCGGCGAGACCCCTCAATCTTTAAAGGCGTCGGCGGGTTAGCGCAGTTAACGTCGTCTGCTTTACGTCTGCTAGTCCAAGCGATGGCTGCTTTACCTTTTCTGCGTCTGTCGGAGATTCACCGCTTTTTCACCGGCGAGAGTTCCCCGTTGCCTCGGGAAACAAGGAGATAACAAGAGGAAGAAATTGACCGCTTAATTTAAAACTGAGGTCAGCGATCAAAGTATAATACGGGAAGGGTTCACAAGGGTCGCGCGGGCGTATTCCATTCAGCACACCAGCCGATCGTGGGCAGGCGGTCGCCGAGTCACGGAGTGAGTGCTAGGCCTAACTGCCGTGCTCGCTTGGTCGCGTTCGGTGGAATCGTGGCCGATGGAGCTTCTCCCGGGTGTTCGTGGATCCAGCGTTCTTGTTAGTCGTGGTCTGTTTCAAGTACTTTTTACTTTTTTCTTGCTGCTTGAAGTCGGAACGCGTGAGAAGCGCACGTAGAAAAATAAACGTCCGTGGGTCGTCGCGACCGCGACGCTGTCGGCCATGCTGATTTGACCGTAAGAAGTGCGTAAGAGAGCTTCGGAGCTGTCGTAGGATTTCGTCGTAACCTGCGCAAAACTTACGAAAATTTCGTTTCGTGATTACGAATTTGTTCTTCAATTTGGTCTTACGCACATTTTTGGCGTAAGATCGTTTCGTGAATCTGTCCTCTGCACTTCCGAAAGTCGCAGGAAAGGCAAGACAGACGCAGACGACGTTGCGAGCAGACGACGTTGCAAAAGAGCAGACGACGCTCAGATAGGGGGGCGCGATCGGCCAATGAGGGCTCGGCGTTCTGACTTCACCGCTACCCCCTACGCAAGAAGCAGACGAGCTTGCCCTCCGCATAGGTGGACATCGGCTCCATTCCGGTATGGTCAGCCTTGCCTTTTGTGACCCTGTACGCGTCGATAATCTTCCCCCACTGAGTACGGTATCCTTTCGAGTCAGACAACGTCATCCTCGCAAACTTTCGCGTTCTGCCGCCATCACTAGCGTCTCGGCGATATTCAGCTTTCTATGGTGCGTAGTGTTTTCCGCGGATCGAAAAACACGGTTTTCTCTTCTACAAAACACCCTCAGTTTCGAACACGTATGTCACGCAGACTGCTGCACAATGCGACGTTTATGAAACTCACAAAAAATCACCAAAACACTTACCAGGACTTTTTCGCGGGTTCCTCGCTCGGTCCCGTCGGCGACGGGAAGCAGAAGCGTCGGTACAGCAGACTGATGGCGTCCACAACTACGGTCACCGCTGGCGAATGCCTCGAAGTTGTCCGCACAGAAACGAGGAATGTGGAGGAAGTCCTCGGTGGTCGTTATCTTGCCTGGTGCAACATAACCATTCGCGTCTTCGCGAATTTTGCATCGAGAACGGGATGAAGTGGGAGCCTCGGGAAGAAAACCGGTAGACGACGAAGTTGAACCTGACGGAGCGACGCAGCCGCGTCGCCGCGCGGGCACATCACTCCCGCGTAACAAGGCAAGGAGAAAACATAGTTCGCTTGTTCCCAATCAATAATAGCTGTATTATGTCACCTACATCCTAAGATTTGATCTGGTTGTCAAAATATAATGTGCATGTGTCTGAAAAGAACAATATTAGTAACTTTTGGAATCTCCTCAAAATTTACAATTTTTATTGGTTGAAGTTTATGGCGGTGGTGGGGACACAGGATTTAATTCCCGAGAGGAAATAGTGCCTGCGTATTTCTATTGCCTCGAGTTTATTTCGACGTCTTGACGTCTAGAACTGGTCATTTTCATTTACTGGAGCCCAACAGACAAAGTACTTTCAAAAACAAACTTCTCCAAAAAGCACTTGAGTGCCCCTTTAAAACACCAAGCACTCATATTCTCTGATTAAAGAATGTTGGATAGACCTTGAAGCAAGCTGCCTCGAGGTGTATGCCTCGAAGTAGCTTACTATGAGTTCTACCCGCTATTCTCTATTCAGAGCCAATCAGAGCTCGGCGTTTTGACGTCATCACAATCCCCGCCCCCCCTCACTCCAAAAGACGCAGACGAACTTGCGCTTCGCATTAGTTCTCGCAGACGCTCTTGCGGTGGCCAAAATTGGACCCCCCGCATAGTAAGGGGCGCAGTCCGCGGATGACTCTGTTCGCGCGTCTTGCTACCTGTTTCCGTTTTTTGACGGTTTTATTTTGTGAATTGACGCTAAAGTCTCGTTACCTGCTAAGCGATGACAAAATGCCCGGCACGCTTTATTTCCTGCGCTTCTGAACGTCCCTGACTGGACTTACCTGGGACTGCTTCATTACCACGTTTGAAAACACAGTCAAATTCGGCCTATATATTGGATGCACGCGTAACTATGGCGAAGAGATGCCAGAACACACATGAGGTAGTATACGGAGCATTACGGAAGAAGACACGAAAAGGCTAGGACATATGCGTTTTATTCCTGATACGGCGGTTGTGTCTTGAAATCAATATTCAGGGTCTTGTTATTTGTTATAGAACCATGTATCTTCAGACTGATCCGTTCCTGTGCAATTGACTTGATAGCAGCAACTTGGGTAGGGACCGGTGCCTTTGAAGACTGGGCAGTTCATAGGGTTTGCGATGATACCGCACCTTAGGAAAAATAAAGATAAGGCAATCGTTTGAAACTTATGAAAATACACAACATCCGTAGTAAATGTAATATGCACACATAAGAGCAATATCCCAGAATATCATGCTAAAGACGCATGTAACGGAAAAGTTAAACGTTAAGTAGTTTCATCAGAGGACATCATATTTTCAAGTGCTCTAATCCACTTTACCTTTCCCTAGGGAAGCATTATACGTATAAAACACTACACATTGTCGGTGCAGTGCGCCATATATTTAATAAAACGTCGCTAATCGGAACAAAATACTAAAGAAGGGTGGATAAAAACAACGCCATTTATGTGTCATCTGTGAAAAAAAGGATGACCTGACGACTATGGCCAAACATTAAATTGACCTTGCCTCCTTTATTGACGAAATTTATATCATGTCTAATATGGTATTTCTGCAGTATCATGAGATATAGAATATATGGCTGCACTTTTTTTTCAATAAGGCAACATCTCGAATAAACATTATTGTATAAAATAATGTCTATATGTTACAGGTAACCTGACATATGGCTTTGGTAAGGCAGGGTGCAAGGCAGGCTCGTACCTTACGAATCGTAAACAGTTTTTGTGTATAGGCAATGCTGAATCATAAGAGTTACCTGTATTTTCTGGAGTGCTCAGGGCTCGGTACTCCGACCGTTGCTCATTCTCGTTTTTATCAATGACATGCAAGTTTTTAAGCCCTCGATTCACTGCCATTTTTTGCTGATGATTGCTTATTGTTTTCAAATATATCTTGTGTATGTAACCAAAAATGCTCGAAGAGAGTATTTAAATGATTTCGTTGTGGTGTCAAAAATGGCAAATGGATCTGAATGTCAAGAAATGTGTGTAAATGTCAGTTACACTGAAGAAGGTGCCTATCTTTTTATTATTCTATTCATTGAAATGCCTTAGACGTAGTTAATGAATACAAGAATCTGCGTGTTACTATCACGTCCAGCTCAAGCTCGGCTAGTCATATTCAGCAGATTATCAGAAAAGCGTCAAGTAAACTGTAGGCGCTATGTAGGAAAATGTGCAATTGTATTCCTGCGACATTGCTGACGGCCTATAAATCGCTGATTCGTCCTTTGATAAAATATGCTGTTGTTGTATGGGACCCGCACTCGGAATCGCTCATTGACCAATTAGAATGCCTTTAAAAAATCTCTTAGGTTTATTTACAACTCATACGGCAAATATTCACAGGTGCCACCGTTGTACACACCACCTCCGGAGTGCCTATATTATGTCGAAGGAAAGTAAGGCGTTTGAAATGTTTGCATAATATAACTCATAATAAAGCTGGTTTAAATTATGATGCTTATTTGCAGTAGAACGCGAGTCGTGATACAAGGCGGAAGCACGAGAATTCGCTCATTGCGTTCCGCTTTAGAAAATGTTTTTAAATACTCTTATTTTCCCTGTTCTGTTTGTAAGTGGAATGACTTGCCCCCGAGTGTGATGGCGATTGCTTCCACCGTTTCTTTTTTTTTTTTGCGAGTGCAGTTGTTGCTTTTTCTGTGTCACATATGACTAAGATACTTTTTAATTGTTGTTGTGTTCATTCGAACTGATTGAAGTTTTCTGATGTTGTCGTATCATGTCTTTGCCCTTAAAAAGTGACCGGCAGTATTTTCAAATAAAGTAAATAAATTACAAGTGATTAAACACAAAGGCCTGATAAATAATGTTGACGGCAACAAATGCCTCTGAAAAGTATCCACAAGGCTTTTACAAAGGCGTAGATTTATCACAAAAGAAAATAGGCACGAAAGTATTTTGAAAGTGTAAAATGAATGTGTGATAATGTAGAAATGCAGAAAAGCTGGTTCTGCAAATTAGATGACCACATTTACCTCGCAACCTTCATAAGTTTTTCTTGACAATAATAATCGTACAACTAATGATATCCCATACCAATTGCACGTCGCAAATCCGTACCTGGTCCGGGCAACATGCTAATTACAGGACAACACCAAATGTTGTTGAGCAATCTATGTATTTAAATTTTAAATTTATTTTTGCCATTTATACTAAGGAAAGGACCTGTTGATGGGATATTCCTGTTCAGGAAATATTCCTGTTCAGGAAATATTCCTAGGTCGCACCGTTCTTCCTGCCATAACATGTTTTTTGCTTGGAAATATAGGGACTTAAAAAGCCCGAAGACGCCAAGACAGAAAAAAAGTTTACCTTAGTTCCAGATAATGGGTATCTTGACCCTTATATTTGGTAGACAAGGAACCAAAGCGAAGCTTCACTGATGGCAGTTTAGCTGTCGTCTGACATCTTTGGGCAGAAATCGCCAGGTGACAGAGTTGAGCTAGACTCATGCTGTTTCGATTTTCATTTAGAAGCTTCAGGCGTAAATTGCCCGAACCATGGTTTCTGCAATTAAAGGAAAAATGTGGCACTGCAGTGCCACATTTTGTCTTTAATTCTGGTTCTTCGGTTGATATGTGATATTTTTGTACTCAAGTTTGGCACTTCAGAAATTACGCGGCGAACCAGAAAAAAATTCATCGAATTACGAAAGAAAAGTACATTGGCCCTAACAAACGCACTGGAGACAAAACCGCGTTAGCCACAAGTTGGGCCCCTAGGATCGCCAAGCTTGTGCCGAGTTGGTCGTTCCTCAGGCATGCTTTCCTGGGTATTTTGTCTACTCCAAGTTATTTTCACTCACGGAAGAATGGCAAATGATCTTGATCGAACGTCGCAGGTCCAAGACTGACACGGGTTCTCAAAGCGCAGAGATGCACCGTCAGCAACCAGATGGTTCTTGTACTTGCATTTGCCTGTTGATAAATGGTTACTTTCAGTAATGAAGTGCCTTCCCAAACACCTATTTTCGTTTCGCACCTCAGTTGCCGTGTTTCTACTTTAAAATGCCTCAAGTGCGACGTCACAAAAAATCTGCAACATGTGTTTTGGGTGTGCCAAGGACACGGAAAGGCAAGCGATGATCTTCGGAAGGCAATCGCAGAAAATAACTTTGGCAACCACCACATCCCAAGTTACCTTTTCCCAGAAGAACCTCAAGCAAACGGGAGGAAAAGATATCGGCCATCTTAATTTCTCTGAGACCCCAGGCGCGGACCTCTCTCGCTTTTTTTTTTACCGAAATAGATGCTGCAGATGCCCAGAGTACCATTTCTTGTTTTGACAATATTATGCTTAGATGGATGTCGGCTCATAAAACCGTTACGGTTTTCTAAATCACATTCTGATGCATTTAAAATAATGTTTTCAAACGTTCGCATTATATCCTCACCATTAGGGTGAAATTCTCACGAAGCAAAGAGCTTTCTGCGATGCATAGTTTGTTTCCTCGTGCTAAAAAACGCGGTTGTCTTTTTTCGGGAACTCACTGAACACTCGTTTTCAAGGCCACAAGCAGCCGACGCTATGGTGATGGGACCAATCAGACAGCGCCAAAAGCGCACCATCATGGTGTTCGTCGTGTGTTCTATCATGTCTTCTAATCATGTAGTTCATGGACGGTCCAGTAACTAGCGCTTTTGAAACTCTTTCGTCGGTTTCATTATATTACAGTTACAGTTACAGTTTATTGTACCTCAAAGGCATTTCCAATGAAATGCATTACATGAGGGGGAATCAAATGACATATACAGACGGCAAAAGAGTGACGACAAGGTAAATAATAGAAAACGCAAAAAGAAAACAAAAAAACCTTCAAACTAATAAGACAGATATCAGAACATAACATGTAGAAAAAGTAATTAACAGATAAACATGTTAAGGATCAACGCTTTTCGGGTGTGCCTTGCATAGTTCACGGAATGTCTTAGGGTTAGATTCACGTTCTATGGATTCAGGAAGGGAATTCCAGTTAGTAATAGCGAGAGAAAGTGGGGAATTTCGGAATTTATTAGTTCTGGCGAATAAAGGTTTAATTTTTAGGCTGTGGTCATGGCGCAAGGCGATGTGAGCTGATGGGTGACAGTTGGTGTTTCGAAAATCAGAAGAGAAATAGTAACTTTTGTGAAAAAGGACAAGACGAGCAAGTTGAGTTCTTTGAGATAGAGGGCATAGGTCAAGGTTGAATATTAGTGCAGTTACGCTTGACGTTCGCGCGTAGTCGCGTGTAATAAAACGTGAGGCCTTGTTTTGCACCGATTCGAGTTTAGTAATGAGATATGATTGATGAGGCCACCAAATAAAGTTGGCGTAGTCCAGTTTTGATCGGACGAAAGTTTTATAGGCAGTTAGTTTAACACAACGGTTTTAGAATAAGTTTTAGAATAGTTTTAGAATAACGTCCTCAAAGTTCAAGTTACCCTAAGAAATTGGGTACCCAAACGGAACAAAGTTGGCGGCGACGGCTTATAGAATAGGGGTTTTGCAACGCCCCGCAGCGCGCTTATGTATCCCGCATCGCCAATGTGGCTAACAAGCGTAAAAAAAAAAAATATATTTTTTTAAAAAAACGTAAAACATGTGCGCTTAGCAACTAATTTTTGTTTACAAAAATTAGTTATGGTAGAATTAAATAAAGCCGACGAAAACAAAATACAATCTAATATCAGTGTAAATGTTGTTGGCTGTATTCAGCCAAAACATTGCAATCAGTATCACTTTCATTTGGCGCAAGTTCTGGGATTGTTGGCGTTCGTGTGGCGTGTTGACCGTCCGTCGCCGAAGATTGAAGCCTTCAACTATGCCGAAACTGGGGCGAACACAAGCGAGCCTACACTGCGAGACGCTGCTCTATTTAAATCTGAGTTGGAGCCACTTTGAAGCCCTACAACATTAAGGGACCTAAACTCGTCAAACACAAAGTTGTAGCCTAAAGTTCGCGGAGCCCGCCGATTGGACGCCGGCTGAAAAGCGCGATCGTCGTGATAGTCCTATCGCTGCGCTCCCTGAACTTCGGCCCCAACTCTGTGTCTGACGAGTTTAGAGCCCTAGTTAGAGCTACAGGCTTCGTGCCACGAACAAAATCAACTCAGAGCCTCAGAGTAGCAATACGTTGCTATGGCAACGGTTACTGCGTTTCTTAGGCCTATTAACGGTCAGAATCTGAACATAATCTTTAAAATGGGGCGCGCCTACTGATCACTTTTTGTTACTTGAGCGAGATAAAGCGAAGAGAAAGCCGGCTGCACCGTTCACTGGCAATGTACATTGCTAATACTGCTGTAACTAAAACGAATTCGCTCCGAAGCGAGCGCAAAGGTGACGCCATGATTGGCGACGAAACCCGGCCCCAAGGAGACACGCTCCCAATGCTATTTCTCGAATTTCGCGTTAGGGGCGAGCGCCAACCCAATGCCTCAAACTAGAGTCCCTGGAATACCGGCTAGTCTGCCGTCCGCCCGCCGTGGTGGTGTCTTTTCCGGGATGAAAGATACGGTGGTGCTGCAAGCAATCGGCTTTCTACCGATGGGAGCAGCTGAGGAGAAGCGCGTTGTTTACTTTTGATATCGATCGCATTTGTCTGAGGAAAAGCGACCTGAGATGCCGCCGTTCTCGTAGAAAACGTTTTGACATTATTATGGGATCAACTATTGTTGTACAGTGCGCTTAGGAGCCAACGTCGTTACTGTTATCTGGACATCATGACTGGTTTTCATAAAAAATCTGTAAAAATGCGGGTTTTTACCCTTTTATTACTGACACACAATGTGGCTGTTCTTTTTTTTTTCAGACTACATACCACAATGCACAAAAAGAGTCACCGATGAAGCACCTAAATAATTGTAACTTCAGGAAAGAAAACGCGTGTTCAATAAACATTCTTTTATCCTTTTTCAGCATCCTTTTTTTTCAGTAGCTTGAAACGCTGCTGTTTCGCTATCCTGTCACTGTTGAGAGTTTTCGTATCAAATCGAAAACGCAGATATACATAGTACTTTATTACACCTGTTTCAGTGGTGTGTTCATGTTCTTGGCAGCCTAATGTAGAAAACTTTACTTCCACCAAAAAGAAAAAAAGAAGTCCTCAATGCTCCTAAATGAAGCTCATAACAAAAAACAAAAACGCAAAAAAGACGGAACACAAAGTAGAAGACGGACGCAGGACACACGCTAACAACCAAAGGTTTACCACACTCTAAGAACTAAGATGGTCTCAAAGGACTAACGGCAGCGTTTGGTCCTCTGAACTCCCATTTGCTCCCCGAAAAGACCATCTGGTTTGAGCTAGGTACCGTGCGCAGATGCTGGGGACTAACTGTACTCGACCGGGACTAACTGAAAGGCGCGCGGGAGCAAAAGCAACCGCGGGTGCAAAAGCGCGGGACAAAAGCAGCAAAAGGCGCGCGGTCGCAAGAGCGCGGGTGCAAAAGACGCGCGGACAAGATGGCGGCGTCTGCTGCATCGCCGATGGCCAGCGTTAGCGACGCACTTACTGTTTCAGAACGCAGGGGGAGGTATCCACAGACAATCGTGGCATCAAAAATTGCAAGAGGGGGCATGTTTAAGGGTTGAAGATGACTTTATAACGATCGCAGCCTCTTTACCAGCCCGTAACGGAAGCCGCCGCTGACTCAAGCGCAGCCATTGTTGATGCACTGGCCATGCGGCGTTTGAACAGTGTCCTGGTGTCCTTCCCCTTTGCATACTTTTGAGCGTACTTTGAAAGCGTTTATATTTTATTTTTATTTTAACTGAAACGTAGAAAAAATTTTTACCACGTAGCACGTGGTAAAAACGTTTCCAAAGACAAACAAAAACAGATGGATTCTGGTTTCTTTTCTTTTTGTTTTTTTCGTAAGAGACGATGCGGTGGCCACGGAGACGCGCATGCGCAAAGTAGGGCACCGTATGCGGGGAAGGGAGAGCATGGCTGCAGGGGGCCTCTGGGGACGCTGTTTTATAGACTGTCACAAATAATTACGATGTGTATCATTACTTCTTAGTAAGAGATACACTCCTTGGAAAGTTTAGGAACAATATTGGAGAACAATATTGGTGCGCAAGCAGCACCGCATTTGTAACATCGTTCACGGTTGAGATGGTCACTGACAAAACGACTCCTCTCGTATGATCAGTATAAAAGAGGCTTTGGTATTACGATTGAAATAGCGTGTTGTTGTGCGTGTGTGTTATGTGTGTCGTCTGTGTGTTCTAATTCCTTGTCTATCTTCAAAATGTGTATAACCTGTACAAATGTGATATAAGCGTTTTTCGTATCTGAACGTAATGAGCGCGGAAAGGATCTACCCCAGTGATACCATATTTTTTACCAACTTTGAATTTGACGTTGACTAGCGCCACCTGGGTGTGTAAGGGCGCTATTAACTTAGTTAATAGCAATTCGCTATTAACTAAGGTAAGGGCGCAACATTTAGTCCCGGGGGCCTAAATGCAAGGGTGCAAAAGTTAGTCCTGGGAGTTCAACTTTGAGGGGAGCAAGTGTTGCTCCCGTCACCGTTGCTCCCCTAGGGGACCAATGGTTGTGTAAGCGCATTTGCTCCCTTGAGGGAGCAATCACGCCCCATTTTTTCGTAGAGCGTAGAACTTTCACGCGTGTTGTTACCAACCAGCACAACAAGCTACCCTGGTAAAGTGGAGCTCGTGTAAGCTGAAATATTATGTAAAACTGTCTTCAAGGAGAGTTAATAAATTTCTCATGGGGACACGCGGGTACTTCAAACCCCCATTTTCAAAGTTGGCTGAAATCGACGAAGCTTGGTCCTGTTCCATGGCTGTGTACTGGTCAGTTTGCTGGAAAGACACACAAACCTCTCATGAAGTATTTTTCGGTGTGTTCCTCAATACATATCCAGTAATGTAGTAAATAAACAGGCCGTTGCTTTTTTTTTTTTTTTGT